ACCGCGGTACACAAATTAGATGAGGAACGAAATCGAGTGTTAACAAAAAGTGAAGTCGTTATGTTGCCCCTCCCTCCGTGAAATACATTCGCGTATTTTATATTGAAGGCGTGTAAAGTAATAGCGCCATCTACTTCGTTCTATAGGTCATTTTATCCAAAAAACTGGTTGACTTTACTGTCAAGATGTTACAGCCCTTCACAAGGTAATGCACGAAACAAGGTCCTAAGCCACCTACATAAAATTTCTGCATGTCATACCAGGTCGTCACACTATTTAGTCGTCCTACACTTCACTTGCCAGGCTGTATTATTTGTACAAATACACGATTCGATAATTTTACAAAAAAAAAACAAAGCTACAAAACTAATGATTTCTTATATTTATGCGAACACTACACATTTAACTAAAACTAATTTTACGGATTTTACCGCGTATATTAACTTACAAAACTATCATTATTGCAAACACAATAAAAGTAAAATATTAAATTTATACGCAAGGACGTTTGTTTTTTATTATAATAATAAAAAACATACGCTAAACGCAATGTAAATCACATTTGTTGCTTAACCGTGAAATTGCGTTATCAAATTGCGTAAACGAATTTCTAATTCAACTCGCTGCTCTCAGGGGAAATTAAGGAATTTGTTCAAAGAAAAATATATATGTGTAGTATTTTTGTCATTTTACATGCACAAGCAGCCAAGTTCAGATTAATACATTGGAATGAAATAAAAAATGGTAAAATAAACTTCATTGATTTATTTTTATTGTTTTCATAATTAGTTATTATCGTTAATATACCAGAGCCACGCTGCAGCTATATTATGGTTGCACTGCGAATGGTTTGGCTCGATCCTGGAAACACCACGCTCTCATAGAATAGAATAGAATACATTTTTAATTAAATATACATTACATGTGTAATTCTTATTGAAAGTCATTTTTTTCTTTACCACTGGTTCGAAAAAAACCCTCTGTCCTGGGAAGAACCAGCAAGAAACCCTGCGGGACTTTTTTGAAATAAATTTTACAATATAAATGATTACGAACTATTTACAAAATTTATTTTAGAAACTGCTTGGAAGCGACCACCTCATTCCCAGGGGTTATTATCAACCATGTAATAATTTATACTATAATAACCCTTTTTATATAGTTTCAGCTTAACAAAACATTAAAACTTGGCAATAGAGAGAGCCTGTACACATTCCGGGACCTTGTTGTAATAGCGTATACATTGCCCCAAGAATGAATTACTGACTCTGTGGAGTCGAGAAACTGGAATCACTAGCTTGTGTTTGTTCCTGGTGTTTACAGAATGTATATCACTTTTTTTTACTACAATTACTTTTGTTTTTGTGAACATACATTAAATTTTCGTAAATATACTGAGACGCCAAAGTTGAAACATTTATTTCTTTAAATTTATCTCTAAGAGACTCTCTCGGTTTTAGATTGAAAATAGCTCTAATGGCCCTCATCTGTAAAACAAAAATAGTGTTACGCGCCACTATTAATGTCTTGTACATGGCAACACTAGTTACACTAGCGCCCTCTAGTGTCGAGTAGCAGAACTAGGAGAGTCAAGATCCTTCCGGAAATTTCGGGACCGATATGTACTCGAACATTCTAGATGTCGCTACAGTAGAAGGTTCTGGAAACTATCTGAGGCCCTATATAGCGGCGGTATAGACCTCGACCAAGGCAGTATTGAATTGACGATACAAGAGAATACTTCGAAGCGAAATAACTGCGAACTAAAGTGATTGTGTTTTATTATAAGTGTGGTTTTAGATCGTATTTAGTGTTGTGTAATTAAAGTGTCAATTTTGGTAATTCAATCGGCAGTTTTTAATTGTCTCGAACCCCAAGCTCGTAACAATTGGTGTCAGAAGTGAGATCAAATCATGCCGATTTTACCAAAGGACGACAAAATAAAAGGGTATTCGTACCCGAAGTCAACGCCAGCTGGCGGCGGACCAGAGACGATTTGGTAATGCAACGCCACAAACGTCGGAGGGCCAGATATTGAACACAGAGTTCAGCCCGTCAGCAGCTCCTGCATCTGCAGCACCTGACTTAGGTGCTCTGATGATGATGCTGCAAGATCAGGCTCGCCGACAGGAGGAACAGGCTCGCCGGTTGGAGGAGCAGCTGCAGCGCGGACAGGAGGAACAGGTCCGTCGGTTGGAAGAGCAACTGCAGCGCAGGAAGCAGGAACAGGCCCGTTGCTTGGAAAAGCAGCTCAAATGCGATAAGGAAGAGCAGATGGGTCTTCTTCCTGGTCAACCTACAAAATCCAGTTCGAGGCTGTCATGAAAGCGAACGGCTGGAATAAACCTCAGGCCATGACTGCTCTCACCCTAGGCCTATGCGACCAGGCCTTAACTGTTCTGGAAGCTCTCGGTACGGAAGTAACTTGTGAGCAGCTCCTTGAGGCATTGGAGGCGAGATATGGTGACGCTCACCTGGAACACGTCTTTCGTGCGCAGCTCAAAGATCGCGTGCAACGCAGTAACGAAAACCTGCAGCGGTGGGCCCTTGAGGTGGAGAAGCTGTTTCGAAAAGCGTACCAGTCTGTACCTGCGCTCATTGTAGGGAACCTGATGCAGACATTCATCGACGTCATCCACGACTTTGAAGTCAGAGCTGCTGTGAGGCTCGGGCACCACGAGACGCTTAAGGACGCCTTGACCCATGCACTGGAGGTGGAAGCCGTGTGGCAGGATCATCGTTCCCACCGCGTCAGGGAGGTTGCAGCAGCTACAGTTCGGGACCGCAATAACCGCTACAGCTCTAGATGCTACGGCTGTGGGGAAAGGGGCCATCTTCGGTCCAGCTGCTCTAAGCGAACTGTAGAAAGGGAAGGTGATCGATCTCGAGAGGGTAGTGCGGCTAATAGCACTGCCCATCAGCAGCAGGGAAACTGGCGGGTGCTGGCTGATGTTAAAAGAGCCCCAAGGATTTCGATCTCACAAACCCGTAATGGGAACAGCCTGATCATCAAGGGCGAGGTCAACGGAACGCCGTGTAAACTGACCATAGACACTGGAGCCTCTCGCACGGTTGTCAGTTCCCAACTTATAAGTCAGTTCCTTGGGGACTCCGCATACAACCGCGAACGCATTAATTTGGTGACAGCCACTGGTCAGCGCATACCCGTCCGTGGAGAGAAGGAGATGGAGTTGAAGCTAGGCAACATGATCTACCTGCATAATGTCATCGTGGCTGATATAATGGAGGACTGCATCCTGGGCCTAGACTTTATGAGGAAGAATTTTTGTGAGATCGACGTTAAGCAAGGTGTTTTGAAATGTGGACAAGAGGAACTTTTCGTGGAAGGGGCGTTACCAGGGAATGTGTACAGCTTTAAGAAGATTGTTCTTCCGCTGAGATCTGAAACGATTGTGCCGGTTAGTTAGTAGTAGTGGTTAGATAGGGATCCTGGGCAAGCTCATCGTTGTGTACTCGTGGAAAGGGTAGACAATGACCTTCCATGGAAAGTGGCTCGAACCTTGGTCAGAACCACCGACATCTCAGGAGTACGTGTGTTGAACCTTTGTGATCAGGAACAGATTATAGAAAAAGGCACATTGGTTGGTGCTAGTGAGGAAGTGGATTGGTTGCGTCGGTGCGAATATCTATCGACTGGGACCCTCAGCAAGGATGGACAAACGAGAGTGACCAAACTTTTAGAAGACGTTCTCTCCACGAATGAAATGGTCAAGGCGAAGAAGTTGTTACTCAAGTACGCCAATGTTTTCTCGTCAAACGAAGCTGACATAGGAAAGACTGGCTTAGTTCAACACAAAATAAACACAGGAGAAGAATTGCCTATTCGTCAGCGGCCAAGAAGATTGCCTGTAGCATGTGAAAAGGAAGTGGAAACCATGATTGAGGGAATGGTGAAGGATGGTGTTATTGAACCTTCATCTAGTCCATGATGTTCACCTGTGGTGCTGGTAAAGAAGAAGGACGGCAGCATGCGGTTTTGTGTTGACTACCGCCGCCTGATCGACGTTACGAAGAAGGACAGCTATCCCTTGCCAAGAATTGATGACACGCTGGATATGCTTACAGGCGTAAAGTGGTTTAGTACGCTGGACCTGAAAAATGGCTACTGGTAGGTTGAAATTTACCCTAAGGATAAGAAAAAAACTGCATTCTCCACAGGAAAGAGTCTGTGGCAATTTAAAGTCATGTCGTTTGGATTGTGCAATGCTCCAGCAACGTTTGAAAGATTGATGGAGCTTGTACTTACCGAGCTAATTGGAGATGCCTGTCTGGTCCACTTGGATGACATCATCATCGTAGACCGTACGTTTGAGGAACACCTTCAAAACCTGGAACGTGTGCTTATGAAGATCTAGAGTGCAAACCTCAAGTTGAGTTCGAAGAAGTGCTCACTATTCAAACGGCAAGTTAGCTTTTTGGGGTATGTAGAGTGGGAAGAAGGTATCTGCACGGATCCAGAGAAAATTGCCGCTGTCAAGGAGTGGCCGGTTCCAAAAGACAAAACACAGGTTAGAGCATTTTTTGGTTTTTGCTCTTATTATCGGCGATTTGTGAAGAACTTTGCAGATATAGCCAAACCTCTGCACAAGCTAACCGAGGAGAAGCGACATTTCTGCTGGGATGAAAGTTGCGATATTGCATTCCAGGAGCTCAAGAACCTTCTGTGCTAAACACCTTTTTTTATAGGATAGGGTGACAAACGAGCACACAGTCCTCCTGAAGGTAAGTGGTTACTGTGACTCATAGACATCTACATCTATCCTTAGTAAAGACTCAAGATGCAGATGCGTTGTCACCCGTGAGGACTAAGATGGAATGCCTCTTAGCCAGTAAAAAGGGTCTCCGGTTCTCTACACTCACCATACGAAACACAGCAGAATTAAGCTGCTATTTTACGCTGGTTTTCTGTGAGAGCGTGGTCCTTCCCCTGTCGAGCCGACCCATTCGTGCTACAACAATACTACTAATATAGCTGCAGCATGGCTCTACCACGTATGAATTTTGGGGTACCTATTTTGGGGTACCCTGATGCGGGCAAGGAATTCATAGTTGACACAGACGCAAGTGATATAGGACTTGGCGGTGTGTTGTCTCAACGGAATGGTGATCAAGAGATTGTGATAGCGTACTTCAGCAAGTCGTTGTCAAAGCCGGAAAGGAACTATTGTGTCACAAGACGGGAATTGCTTGCTGTGGTAAAGTCCTTGCAGAATTTTATAAAATATCTTCTGGGGCGGAAATTCCACTTACGAACTGACCATGCTGCACTGAAATGGCTATTGCAGTTCAAAAATCCGGAAGGACAAGTTGCGAGATGGATTAAACTACTGCAGGAATACGACTTTGTTGAATCGAACATCGCAGCGGGAAATCTCATGGCAATGCAGATGCATTGTCAAGAAGAACTTGCCCTCAAGATTGCAAGCATTGCAAGCATGTACTAGGCAAGAGGGTAAGGAAGTGGTATCTGTGAGGATGCTCAGGACAGACCAGCTCAGCAATGAGTGGAAGGACAGCCTACAACATGCACAGCAGGAAGATTCGGACATTAAGCCGATTCTGGAATGGATGAAGGCCAGTGCTCCTAAGCCCAATTGGAGCGACGTCTCAGCGATGAGTTCGAACACGAAAAGCTATTGGGCCCAATAGGAGAGCTTGCTGATTCATAATGGAATCCTGTGCCGTAAATGGGAAAATGGTCGGGAAGACAGTTGTCATTTGCAAATGGTAGTCCCTAAGGCTAAAATACCGGATGTTTTACAGCTGTACCATAGTGGTTGTTCAGGAGGCCACCTGGGAGTTAAACGCACTCTACTGAAGATCCGAGAACGGTTTTACTGGGTCCACTGTCGTGACGATGTCAAGGACTGGTGCCGCAAATGTACAAGTTGTGCAGCTGTAAAGGGACCTCAATTGTAGTAGAGGCGCATTGAAATTGTACAATGTTGGTCCACCATGGGAGAGGATAGCCATTGACGTTGCTGGGTCGTTTCCGGAAAGTGAAAGTGGTAACAAGTATTTCATGGTTGTGATGGATAACTTCACTAAGTGGCCAGAAGTCTTCGCCATTCCAAATCAAGAAGCTTCAACAGTTGCAGATAAACTAGTTCATGAAGTCTTCTGTCGTTTTGGAGTACCCTTAGAGATTCACAGCGATCAAGGAAGGAATTTTGTGTCTCAAATATTCCAGGAAACTTGCAGAGTTATGGGTACTTATAAAACATGAACAACTTCTTACCACCCACAATCTGATGGAATAGTAGAACGATTTAATCAGACATTGGAAAGGTACCTGGCAAAAGTTGTGGAAAAACGGCAACGAGACTGGGACAGGCACATACAACCGTTTTTGTTGTCATATCATATCTTTGGGAGAGAATTACGGCTACCTGCAGATCTGATCACCGGAATACCACCTGATGCCCCACGCAGTATAACTGATTATGCAAATGACTTGCGGAAGAAAATGAATGACATTTATGAGCACGTCAGACAGTCGGGCCAACAAACGTCTGAGAAGATGAAAACACGGTATGACCGCAAAATGAACAAGAAAGGGTTTGACGAAGGTTCACCAGTGTGGTTACACAATCCAGCTCGCAGCAAAGGGAAATCTCCTAAGCTTCAAGCTAAACGGGATGGATCGTACCGGATTGTGACAAGGATCAATGACGTAACTTACCGGATACAGAAAGGTGCCAGAGGTACTTCTAAGATCGTCCATGTGGATCGTTTGGCGCGTTATTATGGGGCCAATACTGCTCGGGACGAGCATGTCTTAGGAGGGGGCAGTGTTGCGCGCCACTATTAATGTCTTGTACATGGCAACACTAGTTACACTAGCGCCCTCTAGTGTCGAGTAGCAGAACTAGGAGAGTCAAGATCCTTCCGGAAATTTCGGGACCGATATGTACTCGAACATTCTAGATGTCGCTACAGTAGAAGGTTCTGGAAACTATCTGAGGCCCTATATAACGCCGGTATAGACCTCGACCGAGGCAGTATTGAATTGGCGATACAAGAGAATAATTCGTAGCGAAATAACTGCGAACTAAAGTGATTGTGTTCTATTATTAGTGTGGTTTTAGATTGTAATTAGTGTTGTGTAATTAAAGTGTCAATTTTGGTTATTCAATTGGCAGTTTTTAATTATCTCGAACCCCAAGCAAAATAGTTTCTGAATCAGCCGCATTTCCCCATAGCAAAATCCCATAAGACATTATGCTATGGAAATAACTGAAATAAACTAATCTAGCTGTCTCGACACTAGTGAGGCCTCTAATATTTTTTACAGCTTAGGCTTCTTACCTTAGTCTGCTTGCTAATTTGGATATATGGCGGCCCCACTGAAGCTTTGCGTCGAGAGTGATGCCAAGAAAAACAGTGGATACAACAGGGCTCAGTTCCACCCCATTTAAAAATACATTGGTATTCAGATTTTTAACATTCGTTGTTGTAAATTAAACACGTTAGTTTTATCTCCGTTCAAATGTAGATTATTAATTTTAAACCAATGCTCTAATTTTGATATAGCATTATTCACTTCATGATATTTAAATGATTGACGTTTAAGTTTAAAAATCAAGGAAGTATTATCAGCAAATAATGCTATATCATGACTGTTCCTTACAAGGTAAGGTAAGTCATTAATATGCACTAGAAACAGGAATGGGCCGAGAATCGAGCCCTGAAGGACACCCATTAGTACAAGTGACCCGGAAGAACTTTTACCATTGATAATAACCTTCTGCTTTCTATTACTTAAATATGAAATAATAAGTTTAAGCGCTGTGTTCTTCACAACATAGTACTGTAGCTTCCTGATTAATGTCTCATGGTGAACACAGTCAAAGGCATTGGAAAGATCACAAAATATACCCATAGCACCCTCTATATTCTCCCATGCACAAAAAATATGTTTAATAAGCTCAACTCTAGCGTCAGTTGTCGAGCGACCGCTTGTTAAACCGAATTGATTTTTATGTAGCAATTTATTAATATTAAAGAAAGTTATTAATTATAGAATACTTATCTACGTAAAATAGCAGCTTAATGCTGCTGTGTTTCGTATGGTAAATGTAAAGAACCTGAGAACCTTTTTAATGCGCGGTTGATGATAAATATATATGTGTACATTAAAGGCACCCATCACCAGTAGTTCGTTATATTATAACTACTAGGAGAAATATTAAAAAGTAGATGCTGGTATTTAATTAAAAAGTATAAAATTGCAACAGAATCAAACCATACATTCAATATATCAGCACTTGCTTTTTAGTGGGAGTCAAAGCTTTTGCTCACAAAAAAACTTAATGACACCCTATCAAAGATAGCAATCTGTACATAATTCATTAAAAGGTTTTATATAACTAACGATTACCATGAGCCAAAACAGTTACAGTCTTTAGATTGTCCTCCCCCACAAATTACCTCATAGTGGGATTTGCCATAGTTGCCACGCTTGGCAAGCGGGTTGGCAATCGCAGTTTTTTTTATTTTTAATCGTTATTAGTAAGACGCTACTGCCCATCTCCTGATTTGCTTCCCTATGTCGCCTCCTACGACACGCGCTGGATAATATGGGGTAGTGGCTATTCACTACACGGTAAATGAATGTTTGAAAGAACTACTGGAAATGCGTTTTGGATTGTATGTGCTTACTTTAGATTAGTTTTCGTGCCTGTTGTTACTGCCCCTGCAGTGACAGACAAACTGACAGTGTGTGTATGTATTTTATATAATATATTACAGAAATCATATTTACTGGCTCGAGATCAAAAACGTATTGATAACCTTCTTTATTAGCTACTGAAAATTTAATTCCTCTGGAAAATAACATTGTTCGAGTATAAATGAATCCCTCTTGAACGGTGGCTATTGAGAGGCAACATAATTATGCCACATAACATTAGACTATTTACGTAATAATATATTATAATTTATACTATTAGATGTATTTAGCTAGGCTAACTATAGTAGTAAGTTTAATATACTCTAATGTAAAATGCAAATAATTACATATATATACTACACTACTAACACATCTAGAAAAGCTAAAGAATTGTTTGCCTCTAACTCCATTGCGAACTGAATTTTAGAATTTATGGAGTTAAGATGGTCTAAAAATGCAGTTACTTTATCTATAGGTAGAATTGTGAAAGTGTCGTCTACGTACCGCTTGTAGAATCTTGGGTTTACGGGAGAAGTAAGCAGGGCTTTCTCCTCAAAGTCTTCCATGAATATATCTGCGACAATAAGAGATACAGGTGAGCCCGTCGCCACGCCATCTACTTGCTTGTAGAACTCTTCTTTCCACAATAGGTAGCCAGATGTAAGGCAGTGTCTGAGTAATACGTAATATTCTACGGGCATGTTGTTTTCCTCCAGCCTTCTAGTAACAACTGAAAATGCAGTCTTCAACAGGTAAGCATGTGAACAGAAGCTGCACATCAAAACTAACCATACTTTCATTGTGTGCCAGATGTAGGTCTCTAATCTTGCTGACAAAATGGAAGGAATCCTTTGTGTGTGCTCTTGTATGTCCCTTGAGCGGTCAGAGTATTTTCGCTAAGTGTTGAGCCAATCTGTAAGTTGGTGAATCGATTTGGCTTACTATGGGACATAGTGGAGCATTGGGCGTGTGTATTTTTGGTAACCCGTACAACCTCAGTGGTTTGGCACACGTACACATACCGCTCAAGGGACATACAAGAGTACACACAAAGGATTCCTACCATTTTGTCAGCGAGATTAAAGACCTACATCTGGCAGACAATGAAACTGGTCAGTTTTGATGTGCAGTCTCTGTTCACATGCTTACCTGTTGAAGGGTTGTTACATAATTTTATTTTACTTTTTAGGTAGTTAATAATTTTTGTTTATTATCTTATTTTATTTTTACTTTTTTTGTGTTCTTTATAAAAGTAGTACATAAATAATATGTGTATCTACGAGAGCTGCTGCCGAAAAACTATGTTCACAGTTTGGCAGATTGTTTTGTATATATAAAGCCACGTCTTCACCAAAAATATTGACAACATTTATGTTTCCAACTGTTAACAAATCAACATTTGTTTCCGAAAATGTTTCAAAATGTTCCAAGAAGCGTCTCCACTGAGGGAACAAATGTTTGCAACAAGCGTATTCCTTTGATGTTGCCGCCGAAAATGGAAACACGATTCCCGATATTGTTTCTAGTTTTGTTGGCAACACTAGGTGATTACAGAAACATTTGTTGACAACACGTGTTGGCAACTGTTGTGTTGGCAACAAAACTTTGGTGGAGACGCGGCTTTATGTACTTAGAACTGGAATTAAGTAAATAAAAAAAATCTATACATATAAACAAAATTGAAGTTTCTGTCTGTAATATTGCATGCTCTTAAGACATAGACAATCATTTTTTTTTCAATTCTGATTGCCCGGGCTAATCTTACGAATGATT